ATAAGGCAGCCATTAAGAATCGCATTAGATAACTCACTAGGCTTCATGGAGTGAGACCCTAAAATAAACTCCCCAGGATTGACTCTTAACCCATTTTTGGATAAATTCAGCCACTTGTGTTAAGTTTATTGATAGATGAATAAGTGCAACATGTTTCAACCTCTATCATTAGTTCTCTGATCAAATTTAATGAGGGTAAGTAATATTTTCTGGCAGCATTTGCACTTGGTTATCATATGTGCAGATTTGCAAAACGTCTGTCAAATTTGAGTTCGCTTGTGCTTCATAAGCTTGTTTTTTTTAAAATGTATTATTTTCTATAAGATTGGCTTCAGCATTTTTTGTCAATATTGTGAAAGTCTGGGGGAGGTCATCCCTCACTAATTTGATCGAGTATTTTGAGGGGTGACGAAGATGATTGATGAGGGAAAAGTGGTTGATGGTATTTACATGGACTTCAGTAAAGCCTTTGACAAGGTCCCTCATGGCAGACTGGTACTGGTGAAGTCACATGGTATCGGGGTGAGCTGGCAAGATGGATACAGAACTGGCTTAGTCAGAGGAGACAAAGGGTAGTGGTGGAAGGATGCTTTTCGGAATGGAGGTCTGTGACTAGTGTGTTCCACAGGAATCAGTGCTGGGACCTCTGCTGTTCATGATCTACATAAATGATTTGGAGGAAAATGTAGCTGGTCTAATTAGTAAGTTTGCAGATGATACAAAGGTTGGTAGAGTTGTGGATAGTGAGGAAGATTTTCAAAGAATACAGCAGGATATAGATCAGCTGGAGACATGGGCAGAAAAGTGGCAGATGGAGTTTAATCCGGACATCTGTGAGGTGATGCATTTTGGAAGGTCAAGTACAGGTAGAAATTATACAGTGAATGGAAGAATCCTTAGAAGTATTGATATGCAGGGGGATCTGAGTGTGTAGGTCCACAGTTCACTGAAGATGGCAGCACAGGTAGATAAAGTAGTAAAAAAGGCCTATGGCATGCTTGCCTTCATTGGAAGGGGCACTGAGTATACGGATAGGCAAGTTATGCTGCAGCTTTATAGAAGTTTCGTTAGGCCACACTTGGAATATTGTGTACAGTTCTGGACACGACACCACCAGAAGGATGTGGAAGCTTTGAAGAGGGTACAGAAAAGGTTTACCAGGATGTTGCCGGGTAAGGGGGATTTTACCAATGAAGAATGGTTGGATAGACTGGGTTTGTTTTCACTGGAACACAGGAGGTTGAGGGGCAACCTGCTAGAAGTTTATAAGATGGCATGGGTATAGTGGAAAGTATGAGGCTTTTCCCAGGGTGGAGGGGTCAAAACTAGGGGACACCGTGCAAAGTTTCAAAGTGCAAGGGGGCAAGTTTGAAAGAGATGTGCAAGGCACGTTTTCCACACAAAGGGTGGGGAGTGCCTGGAACACGCTGCTACAGGAGGTGCTGGAAGCAGACACAACAGTAGCATTCAAGAAGCACCTGGACAAATACATGAATAGGAAGGGAATAGAGGGATGTGGATCCAATAAGTGAAGACAGTTTTAATATGGAAAGGCAAAATGTGTCGGCGCATGCTTGGAGGTCCAACGGGCCTGTTCCTGTGCTGTACTGTTCTTTGTAGTTCATTTCAGAGCACAATGATAAGTGACATGATCAATTGTTATTGAGAGGTAGTATTAAAGGGGTTAAAGGAGATAGGAGAGCACATAACTGATGCTCTAAGCACAATCGTTCAGAGTTCCCTGGATTCAGGAGTTATACCTCTGGATTGGTCATTCCATTGTTTAAGAAGGGTGGCAAAGGGAAACCCGAGAATTACAGACCAGTTATGTGGTGCAGAAATTGTTGGAGTCTATAACCAAGAATAGGGTAACTGATCAATTCGAAAAATTTCACTGATTCAGTGAGAGTCAGTATGGATTCATAAAAGGTAGGTCATGCCTGACAAACCTCATGGAGCTTTTTGAAGAGGTGACAAAGATAGTGGACGGCAGAAAGTCAGGAAATTATGTTTATATGGACTTCCAGAAGGCTTTTGATGAAGTTCCACACAAGAGATTGTTAGCTGAGGTGGAAGCCCTCGGAACTGAGGGCAAATTACTGACGCGAATAAGAAATTAGCAGAAAACAGTGAGTTGGAATAATTGGTAAGTTCCCAAATTGGTAGGACATGATTAGTGATGTCTCACAGGGATCAGCGTTGTGTCTTCAACTATTCACAATATTCATTGATGACTTGGATTATGGTAAAAAATCAAATCTCCAAATTTGCTGATGACACAAAATTGGGCAGCATTGTAGACAGTGTTGAGGACAGCATAAAATTACAACAGGATACTGATAGATTAGGTGAATGGGCAAAGCTGTGCAGATGGATTTTAATATGAAAGTGTGAGGTTATCTATTTCAGGCTGAAAAAGGGTAGATCAGGCGTAGTTTTTAAGAAAGCACCAATTTAAATTCAATGGGTATCAAATGAGATATGGGTGTTCAGGTTCATAGCTCTTTCAAATACCACAAACAGCTGCAGAAAATAGTCATGAGGGCTAATGGAATGCCGGTCTTCATATCTAAAGGGCTGGAGTACAGGGATGCAGAAGTTATGCAGTGTTATACAAAACCCTAGTTAGACTCCACTTAGAGTATTGTTAGCAGATCTGGGCACTACACATTAGGAAGTATGTCTGGTGCAAGCTAAATACAGGCTTACAAGGATGATACCTATACTTAGTTATGAGGAGGGAATAGACAAATTAGGCCTTTATTCTCTAGAATTTAAAGGTTAAGAGGTGATCTAATCTGGTCTTCAGGATATTAACTGGGAAACACAGGGTAGATAAAAATAAACTATTTCCGCTGGTCAAAGATTCTAGAATCAGGGAGCATAATAATAATTAGGCTCAGGGCATTCAGGAGAGATGTTAGAAAGCACTTCTACATGTAAAGAGAAGGGGAGGTCTTCCAAACGGCAGTCAATGCTAATTCAATTGTTAAATCTAAATCTGGGATAGACAAATTTTTATTAAGATAGGATAACAAAGAATAGAGGCCCAAGCCAGGCATATGGAGTTAGGCCACAGATCAGCAATGATCATATTGAATGGTGGAACAGGCTAGAGGAGCTGAATGGCCTACTGTCGTTCCTATTATTCAATGTATGACATTGATTAGGTAATTTCAAATATCCATCAGGCCATTATAAACAAAAAGCTGGCTTCTTAAATCACTTGAGGACCCTGATGACACACAGTTACATTATCAGGAGGTTTCAGTGAGCAGATATTGAGATTCCATGCTTAGATATGAAAGCATAGAATCTCAACTTAAAGTGGCAACAGATTGAGAATTTGGGTAGGAGAAGGTCATTTTTCATTAACCTAGGACAACTTGAAACTTTTCGTTCTTGCAGTCTTTCTTGCTCATGTCCAGAATAACCTACATTTGTGCAGCAGAAAGGATACATCAGACCAAACCAGGTCAGCTTTGAAAGTTTATGATTAGCCATGTTTAGCTTCAATATTTACTGTTTTCGAAAGTGGAATAGACAGTCTTCTCACCGTGATAGTGAAATATTTTGGTGTTAGTTTCTTAAATACTAAATTAATATGATGTAATTGATTTATATAAATTTACTTTTACATTGAAAAGCTGAGGAAAAAGCAGTTCAAATTTTAATGCCATCTGATAGTGAGTTCTCCAATTGCACTAAAATACATTTTTCTAACTTCAGTCTTATACTAATTTTACACCCTTTCGACACCTCTTTGAGTCTGCTGTTTCATACTACTTTACTCAAAGAAAATTTCATAAGAAAATACGGAATCTCTGTAGTTCAAGTGATATGATGTGATAACACTCAAATTGACATAACTTGAATTAGTCATTGACTCTGCTTGGTGCTGTCTACAGAAGGTCTTTCAATGTCAGAAAATATCTTGGTCTTAAGGTAAAATTGATAGGCCCAATTTTGGCTTTGCACTTCCTGTTGAAAGGGTAGAAAGCAATCCGTGGTTCTGTTAAAGAATTTTTATTCACTCCTTGAACTATAGCCTCATTATTTAATCTGTGATCTGAATCCATCCATACTCCAGCCATGTTATAGAAGAAGCAAGCACACTGAAAATGCTGCAGTGAATTCACATGTGATATGTAGTTATATGTAATTGTATGCGGCAAATTGGCACTTTGTTATTTCATTTCATAAGGCATTCACAAAATTAATCTCCCACAGCTCAGAGGAGAATGTTGCCCCCAAATACAATAGTGCTCGCGTTAACTGTGCAGAGAGATTGATACTATTATTTATTTCGAGCAACATAATTTTACCTCACATGGTTTAAGATCATCAAAGCTTGCATTGAATGTGGACTATTGGAATGATATTTTCTAGCTACATATTTAGTAGGCATTTTATATCAATAATTTGAGTGTTGTTTCAGTATTTTAAATGTTAAATTTTCTTTGTCAATTATTTGCAAAACAGCATTTATCTAACGATCATTTGACAATGTAATCACTGTGGGCACTGTTCATGATTTATTTTGCATTTTATCCAGATTTGATTTTTTTTAATCTCCAGCTAAAATGGTACTTGCTTGATATATTTTATAAAATAAGTGAAAATCCTTATCTTCCGTAAACAGAACCTCCTTAAAGTGTGCAAACTTTGTGAAGTTGACATGGTTAACTCAAGCAATTGGTGCATAATCACACATTCATTTTGATTTACTTTGTAGGCATGTTTCACTAAAGGGAAAATTTGCAGTAAGGCATATGCTGCTCAGATGTATTGCAGAAGCAAAAGGGAGATAATCTTGCAGCTCAGCTCATTGAAAATTGGTTCAGTTCTATTAAATTTATTCAAATGCTCTGAGAAAATAACCTGAACCACTTATAAACAAAAAAAAAACAAAAATTATGAAAGCGACAGCCAAAGCTGTTTATATTCAACACTAATTTTTGATTAAGTATTAATGATGTTTCTCTTTCTTATTCGTTTAGGGCCAGGTTCCATGCGAGACTCAGGCACCGGATTAGCAGGCATCACCATATCACTGTGGCTGCTAGCAGCAACTCTAGTCTGTCTAATTTACAAGTGTTAATAATATGAAAACTGACCGCAAGAAAAGAGGAGACTATTTGTATTTCAACACAGTGCGTTCCACTGCACAAAAAAAGTATTGCTAGAAAAGCTTTTAGAATAGAAACAAAAGGTCGAGGATGTATTAGATACAAAATGATCAACATTTGCTCATGAATTTCAAATATTGTGTAAAAAGAAATTCTTTCTGCTGTCATATTTGCTAATGTTTACATTCACGCAGGTCTAACCCTTTGTTTTGGGTCTGAATGATGACATTTAATCAATGCAAAACAGAACCCTGTATTTGTTGGTGCCAAGTGATCCATCCACCATATCAAAATTATAAATCACTGGAGTAATATTGAGGGTGATGAATGACATGGGAGCTCATTGTTAAATGTATTGATTATGAATCACCCACAATATTTAGGCACAGGCATTGATGCACAACAGCCTGGATCAAAGGGTAAATTCTCAATGAATTTAATCAATTTGCTCAATGTGAATTGGATGATACCCTGTTCTTCAATAAACTGCAAACTAAAATTGTAAAGGTACAAAACATTTCTTTTGTGTTAGTAGTCAAACTGAAAATACCATTATAATACTAATATATTCTGATCAGATCACAAAAATATCTGAACATTACTCTTTAAATGAATAATACTTGATCTAAATTCATGAACAGGCTAAAACATTGGGGAAAAAATACAACTTTTTTTTTTAAACCTCCTGATTTCCATTTATTACAGGTAGATCATCCAATTGGTCTTTTTCTCCCCCCACCAAGGATCTCGAAAGGAATTAGCTGATCTGGCCTGTTATACTGTTCTAGTTAAACTAAAGAGAAGATTTGTCAGCAAAGTACAAGATATATCAGCATGTAGTGGTTTTTGATAATGGCTGCTCCAGAAGATTACAAAGCACATGGCCTGGGTCATTTATAAATGTTTTGTTACACAATGCTCACTTATTATACATTGTATTGACAATGGACATTTCTTGTTTACTTATTAACGATGTATCATCATTTGACAGTTAAAGATTTCCCCTGTAAATTCTTCATTTTGTTACTGATAATTCAACTGGTCAAGTGCTTCAAATATATAGGGTTTTAACATGAGGATCCTCTCCAAAAACCCTACATTTTCATGAGAGAATGCAGAAGCATTAAATCGAATTTGAATGGGTATTATATGAACGTTAGGCCTGAACTTTGTGTGTCAAGGGAGTGATATGTCATTGGTCATAAACCACTGCTCATTAAGCTATTGGTGTGCCATACTAATTTAAAGTATAATACATGAGATGCTATACATCATAACTAACACTCCAGACTTTGTAATAACCACAGCAGCCCCTGGCACAAGTGATTCATGTCGCTTCATCTTCACCCAATTATGACAAATTTTCAGAATAAGACCAAGCGGCACCAGTTCCAGGGGTCATGATAGTTGTTTATCTTATAAGAATTGTAAAGCAAGTTTGCATTTCAGGCGCTAAAATGTATTCCTCATTTCTGTTGTTGTATATATGAGGCCAGTGCCCATAAATGGATTTACATTTTGTTGCTAGCTTTAGACTACGCTAAAAATCCTTGTGACAGTTAAGTGCTGTGTACATACAGAAGAGAGGGCCTGGGAACAGGAGTAGAACTTTGCTCCACTTTATCAAGCCCTAATTGATTTCTCAGTTAACAATGGTCCTACAACATGCTGTGATGCGCTGTAACATTTTTTTTTGCATTTATCTTATTGATATGCGACATTGCAGTTCTATAGATGGATGTTTCTAAAGTAAAAAGGTGAAAGAAATTACAGTACACATTACTAGTGCAAAAGCAATTCTTTGCTGTGTTCAACAAAAACAGTTTTTACTGGAATAAAGTGGTTTGGAAAAGAATAGGTTAACTTTCTTGAAATAAGATGAATATTATGTATAGTGGTAATCACATAAAATGTGTATTAACAAAGTTTGGATCAGTAACCGACTGCTATATCATGATCATAAATCTATTTAAGAAGGAGCGCTCCAAATAGGAGTCACCAGCTACGAAAGCAACGAATTTACATTTCTCATACAGTTCAATTTGTTATTGTGAAGCTGATTTATATCACAGCGAAACATGGAAAAAGCATTTTGAAACTTTTTTTTCTTTAATGATTGCCCAAAACTGGATGCAAATAACTTATGTGGCATAACTGTACAAAACAAAAAGCTTTGAAAAAATTAAAATGGTGTGTGGCTTTAATTTGAGTTGTATAGTTTGATTTAATTCCAACATGTTTCCTGTTTTTAATGCTATGGTAGTCAGTTAAATATAATACTTTGCAAGTTTCTTGGTTACGTGACAGGGTTGCAATCTGATTTTTGTACAGCTGTCAGTTAAGATGGAAATAGCACAGAAACTCCACAGAAGCAACTTGAATATTGTTTTTTTAAAACTTAAACCTAGCTTTTCTTTTTCCTCATTCTGCTCCTTGAATATCACTTGCAGTAGGCATTTTCTTGCAATTGGGAGGACTTTACAACTCCAGAAGCATAGAAGTGTTACAATGCAGGAGGAGTCTATATGGCCCATCCTGTATCAGCTCGTTAAATGACCATCATTATCAAGTGCCAGTCTCCTACTTTCTCCCCATAACTTTGCATATTACTTTTAACCAACCATCTCTTGAATGCCTAAATTGGACCTGACTTCATATAATTCTGGGCAATGCATTCCATACCCTAACTACTTGCTGAGTGGAAAAGTTTTTTCCTCACTTCACGCTTGCTTCTTTTGCAGATCACTTTAAATCTATGCCCTCTTGTTCCTATTACAAGCAGGCTACAGAGCTATAGCTTTTCTCATTGCTTGACTGACGTTGCCTGAAGGATGACTCAGAACCTGCCACTTTTTCTCCCATCCACCCCAAAATGAAATATCTCATTCCAAACTAGCAGCTCAACTGATAAATGATATCTAAAGGCAAAAAACAACTTGAAAGAATGGGAGCCTTTGAGCACATGGACAGGAGTCAGTTGCCACTTGATTTCCACCCATTATCACAACTTCTAGTTTAATAACACCACCAATTAGGTAATTCCACACTACTTCACCAAATCACAATTGTACAATTGAAAACAAAATAAACCTTACTTTGCTAAAAAAAAGTAGTGAAATTGGGCAATATTTGACTTTTCTTTGTCATATTATAAACAGGGAGTGTTTTTTTTCCTACTGGTATGGACTCAATTTCACCCACAATAATTATTTCTTCAGAAATGGTAAACTGTTATATGATTTACCACTTGGCTATTTGTAAGCTAATAATGGCCCTTTATTATCTACCAAAAAAGCTTGGCATAGTCAGCCTAAAACATTACATAAAGCAATGTCATAGAATTATACAGATGTACAGCATGGAAACAGACCCTTCAGTCCAACTCGTCCATGCCAACCAGATATCCCATATTAATTTAGTTTCATTTACCAGCAGCCGACATCTCTCTAAACCCTTCCTATTCGTGTATCCATCCAGATGCCTTTTAAATGTTACAATTGTACCTGCTTCTACCACTTCCTCTGTCAGCTCATTCCATACATGCACCATTCTGTGTGAAAAAGCTATCCCTTAGGTCCATTTTATATCATTCCCCTCTCATCTTAAACCTATGCCCTCTCTTTTTGGACTCCCCACCCTAGAAAAAGATCTTAGCTATTCACCCTATCCAAGCTTTTTATGACTTTATAAACCTCTATTAGGTCACCCCTCAGCCTCTCTGACACTCCAAGGAAAATAACCCCAGCCTATTTAGCCTCTCCCTGTAGCTCAAACCCTCCAACCCCATCAACATCCTTGTAAATATTTTCTGCACCCTTTCAAATCTAACAACATCTTCCCTATAGCAAGGAGACCAGAATTGAATGTAATATTCTAAAAGTGACCTAACCACTGTTCTGTACAGCTGCAACATGACCTTCCAACTCCTATACTCAATGCACTGACCGATAAAAGGCAAATGTAGTAATTGCCTTCTTCTCTACCCTGTCTATCCTGTGATTCCACTTTCAAGGAACTACGAAGCTGCACCCAAAAGTTTCTTTGTCCACCAACACTCCCCAGAACCCTACCATTAAGTGTATTAGAATGTGCTGGAAAAAAGGCCAAAATAATCATAGATACCAGTGACTGATTATGAATATTTAAAGAGATTACCATGCTCATAGTAAAGTAGGTAAATAGTTTTAACAAATACCAGTGCCCATTTATCACTTTGTCCTGCTGACGGTTTATTAAAATGAAGAAAAAGACATGGAATGTGATTGGTAGCAGTACCTCAGGAATGATATTGTAATCACTGCTTTTGAAAACTAACACACATTGCATCTTGAATCTAAAATGTTCACCATTGCAGGCTTGATTCAAAGTTTAACAATGTATTAAGCCCAAAGGTTAAAGGTTTTACTTTCATTTCTTTATTATTACTCTGAGCTAAGGGCAATAGTCTGTCACCAATATCTTCAAGTCACTAAATTCCATATGTTTTATGTATTTTATCAATTACAACTGGGAAAGACTTTTCTAAAAGTATGGGGAGTACCCACCAGACAGTGCTGTGGGTCACTAGTGAATTTGTGTTATTATCTATCAACATTACAATCAGAAGCTCCTACCTATGTTTGTTTAGTATCTTGTTTTCCAGTTTTTCTCCCTGGGTCTGGACAAGACTATACCAGAAATTACTGAATTAAGAAATTTAATAATATGTTGGTGGAATCATATGCTTTTTTTCCAATAATGGAGTTGTGACAATGTTGATTCCACTAGTCAGCAATCCCATGATGCTCTGCTTAAACTGTGGAGTCTCTGTAAAATAGTGTGATTGAAGGATTGTATTGTAAAAATTTCTGTGCAACAAAGATAAGTAGGCCTGTAAAATGCAGAAAGTTGTTTGAAGCATGCTATGGCTGATTGAATACTGCTAATGTTGCGGAATTCAGTAAGGCTGGCAGGGATGGGTAGTTTCTCAAATGTTTTAAGCAATTACCGACATCACTACTTCAGTTTTTAAAAAAGCTGTCACAACTATCTGGCTGCTTGAAAAGTTTGAGAATGATAATATGCTAAACAATTTCTAACTAAAGTGCATTTTTGTTGAATTATGGTGCTGGTCAAATTCTTGATATTATCTATTAGTACAATTTATGTGACATATTCATAACAAAAATTGATTTTTGCACTATGTTAGTTGAAATAAGTGTAAATTTGTTTACACTAATGAATAAAATATAGGGCTGTAACTACTTAAATGCATAATGGGCCATGTTTTGCTAAATTAATTTTTGGGTAAAATGATTTAATTCTGAAAAGAAACTTTTACTCACCAATGAGAGATTTGAAGACAGGAATTAATTTTCTGCCAGCAGGACAATACCAACTGAAACTTGTATGTTTGCTTTGTACAAAGCCCTTCATAATGTAAATGTTGACAGTGAAAATTTCTCTTGCATCTGATGACAGTATTAGAAATGCCTAAGAAAATTG